TATTTTCGAGGCCTTCAGCTTTAAATGTACAGGCTTAAAGTGCGCTTGCAACTGTTTTCTTTTTATTTCCGAATGTGTATTGCCTTAGCCAGCCACCAGATGTTCTGCATGCACTCTTGGAAATGTGTGGTGAGACTCTTTCGGAGCTGGATGGAGAAATAGCTATCAGTGAAAAGCACAAGAGAAGCGGTGGATTTTTTCAAAAGGACAGGCATACAGTTACAGAATTGGAGTTTTGTCCGATTTAGTATTTTTCGAGTATAAAGGCATTTCAGGAGAAGGGGGATTTACCTGGCCATTTTGGATGAGGCAGTGAGGCACATTGCACTGCCGTGCAGAGAACCAGAGCCAGGCCAGGAACAGCTAGACCAGAAGCCGGGCAGTAACGCTGTGCAATGTTACATGCTGGCTGCACAGCTCTGCTGAGAAGCGCGGTGTGTTAGCTCAGGACGACCTCTGCGCTAACGCAATTTTACTGCCCTAATACCGTGTTACGGCTTCCAGGATCTGGCTGACCCGAAGTGACGCTAACAGCCCTGAAAACAGTAGCGTTTCATGCAGATACTTCACACCAGCACAGTTTGCCTACAGCAAGTGATGAGATACCCATCTGAAGCAGGTTAACATGGTTTGTCTGTCCTCGCTTTCATGGTGACGTGGATGTGCGCTGCCGTATTTACGTGAGATTGCTATGTAGCTCGACCCAGTAAGTCCACTTGTTTGCATGCACTCTCTAGGCTCGTGGCTGTTTCCCTGGGCATTATGTGTTGGGGAATGAGTATCTGTATGAAAGAGCTGCTGCCATTTTTCACTTTCATATTGTATTATTGCGTCTGCAGATCTCTTGTCCGCATCTCCTTGCATATCTGGGCTTGGTCTCAGACATCCAAATGCATACTAAGGCACCCAGATATCTTCATGTAAGCTTTTCATTTTTGCAATCACTGGTCTTTGCTCCTGGGGTATGTGCCGTCCTGGCAAGGCAGGCACCATATCCTCCGATGCCCCCTCCAACCTCCTCTCAGGAATGGGTGAGCCTCCACTAGTGCCTAGCACTCCATGTTTAAAGCTACTCCAGTGAAGCTGTAGATGTTGTTGTCAGCTCAGGATTCCAGACAAGCATTTCCTGAACAGAGATAAAACAAGCTAGAACACAGCTACGTGCAATGGCTGACTAATTCAACCCATGTCATGTTTAACTGTACCCAGAGTAATAGATCCCTCCCATCATCTTAATGTCTGCGTGCTCATTATCGCTATGCTTAAAATAGATGCAATAGAATAAATCCATTGCAAGGGCTTCCGGACTAGGAGTAAGGAAAAAAGTTGACGGATCAAGCGCCTTTCTCTCAGGCTGGTGTCAACAAGGTGATGCCCAACAGAGCTCTGGGTCCCTTACGCCCTGGAGCTCTGAGATGAAGTACCTCTTACTTGGCTCTCCAAATATCTATTTTAAGCATTTTCCAACTGCTAAGCTGGCTGCGTTTTCGCCCAGCTGGTCTTTGTCTGCTTGTTGAATATTATTTTGGTTGTGGTTTGCGGTCATTAAAACAGAGTTACAGAAGAGGTCCCTGGCGTGGGCCTTTTCTTAACTGCCAATGGCCCACCACAGCAGTCAAAACTCCGGGTGGTTTTACTGTCACTGGAGGGAAACCAGTGGTTTGGAATCGGGAGACAGGGATGTGAAGATGTATAGGGTCCTCGAATGTCCAAAGCGAAGGTGGAGAATGGGTTGTCTGTAAGTAGTAATGTTAACTAAACTGCATAAAAAGGTGTGTGGCCTTTGTTGTGATATAATACGTATTTTCTTATATGCATGAGCCAAATTGTTGCATCATTGCATCATAATTTATCATAAGTGTGTCCGCCTTTACTTTCAGTCATCTTCTCCCATCCTTATTGGTTCTTGGCAATTACTGTAGATAGACCTTGTAAATATTGCAACCTCGGGTTGCTGTAATCACGTTGGTTCAATTCAGCAGACGGAGCTGTGAACAACAAGCACTCCACTGTGTCCTGAAGACAAAAGGGCATTTTTGCCTTTGAACCAAAAAAAAAAAAAAAAAAAAAAAGTATGAAGAGTTACATCTTGAGGCTACTAACTGTAAGACATTTTTAAAACTACTGTACTTGACACCACTTGAGACAGATACAGAGACACTAAAGATGTCACGATATTCATTGGTATTGTAACAGAACTGCTATTGTATGGGTTTTTTGTATTGCTGTTAAGTATTGTTTTGTGTGTGTGTGTGTTGGAACCTACTGGGGACATGTTATATTTTGAAGTGATTAAACTATTTAATTGTGTGTCTATATTTTGGAATGGAATTATTTCTTCATTAAAAAGATTTTTAAAAGTAATCTATGGAGCATCATGTTTGTGGCTTATTTTGGTTTCAGAAGTCCTGTTCCACGGAGCGGAAGCACAGGGTTTTTTCATTAGAAAAGGAATATGTTTCCCCGTGGCACAGCAAGCAGTCTTCGCTTCACCCACACTCCTTCCACCGCTTTCCCCAGCGCTTTGAGCATGGCACAGAGCAGCGCCTGCGTTCCAGTGGCCCAAGCAGTTTCTTCCTGGTGCTGAGGAACCTAAACCAAAGCCCTGTCTGCAATACCGTAATTTTGCTTACCCACTGTGCTCCTTAGAAGGAGCAAAACCTTGGAAGAGGTGCATTTTAATGGCTTTGCCATATACAGTCACGTTATCTTTTGTTGCAGAAGGACATGATGTCTTTAGTTTTCCAATTACACTTTTAAGGTGTCTTTCCATATCGGGTGTTGGTAATTACAACTGGTTGCTAACCTAAAGGAGCACGGAGCTGCAAAGCAAGAGCTCTTACTTAAAGCAACAAGTTTGTGTCCTGGTGAAGTACCTCCAGGCATGGCGAAGACAGCTGGGAGGCAATGCCCGGCTGTGCTTTCTGTGCCCGTGGTGCTGGTGGTCCTCCACAGGGCAGCTTCTTGAGGGTGTGCTGCTGCCCCGCGGTGGCAGCTCTTTCCAGCGGACGGACCGCAGCCGGCCATTGCAGAGTGTGTCCCTGGCAGCTCAGCGCAGCCGAAACGTCCCCGGCTGTACACATGGCGTTGCTAACTGGCCAATTAATTACACCGGGATGGGGTCACTTAGAAGGAAAGCAGTAGCAGCACACCAAAACCATCCTCTAATACTTGCCACATAGTTAAATATCCCAGTGTCTTGGGAAGCAGATAAAACCCAGTCTGCTGCCTCCCTCTTCAACGCTGACTGCTGTGGTAACCTATAAATCACCAGGGTGTATTTGCCCTAATTCCCTTGTCTACATGGTGACGTTCCTCAATAAAGATGATCATTTTACACTGTAAATTATTTGCCAGATCTGCTGAACTTTGCTTCCACAATCCCAGTCCAAATTCATATCCGCGGGATTGTAAAATATGATGACATATCATCAGCTCATGAGGATAACTCTCTTTTATCCGTGCATAATCCCAAATTGCTGTATTTCTTCCTAACCCACAGTCAGCCTATGGCCTTTGGGGAGCAAAGGAGCCAGTGAAAACTAATTTATAGGCAAAGGCTGTTTTCCTCTTTGCCTCTTGGTTACTCGAGCTACTTTCTGCTCCCCACAAGGAAAATAGACTCATACAGGAAGAAATAAATTAGTTTCACTTGCAAAAAGAAATAAAATAAAAATCATGAAATAAAAATAATGAAATTAATAAAATTAATAAAATAAGTGGTCTTCCGATCAGGGAAGCTGGCACCTTGGCTGCATCAGTGCTGAACTAGGTGACTGAAAGCACCTGAGAGTTTCTAAAAGCACCTGGGAGTTTCCTGCAGCAGCACATGGATCTATGACCGCTCTTCCAAAGTTGCCTTGGGAGGCCTGTTGCTCAGCAGTTGTGTATTCCCTTGCAAGCAGCCCTTAGTTCCAGGTGAAACCTTTTAAGAGAATATCGCAGGAATACGAAGCCGAGTCTATCGCAAAAATAGGTTAAGTGGGATGGGAAATCTCTATTGTTCCACAATGAAAAAATGCACTGAAGAATTTCATGTGCTTCAGGATCATCCTGTCTAAAACCCCAGATAATCCACAGATTAAGGATTCCCCTTTGCTTTCTCCTGAGTGATTGCCACCGGTTGAGTTGTCTGTGGATTAGGTCAGCTATCCCACACTGCCAGCACAGCACCAACATGCCTTTGGCTGCAAAAGGCAAAGCGGCAGAATTAGGTTGCACCTCTCACCGGCTTCCCGTTCCCCCAAGAGAGATACAAGCCAATGATGAACAGGTCCCAGACCGGAGTAAGCCTTTCTGAGGGCCCACAAGTCTGGAGCTTTCTAGAAAAGGCTGTTTTGGGGAAGCAAACTCCCAGGACAGGGCTGGGGGACGTGCAGAGGGGAGCAGGGGAATCATGCAGCCACATCATGCAAACTTTGAGATAAGATGGTCAATGCAGCTTGAAGACAATAAAGACTAAAAAGGTAGGCAATGTGAAACAATAGTTGCTTTT